GAGATTGGATTCTATGACCTAGATGATAGTTTTTTAGCAACAAATACAATTGGAATGCTCAAATTCATCGATTATGGTAGAATCAAGTATAAACATGAATTTTAGGTGATTTTGGGGAAATTATAATGAAAACAGTGGAATCCTTTATATGTGAGCATTTGATGAGTATATGAAGCTCATAAGCATGAGTTGATACTAGAAATATGATTTGAATTCAAAAACATGAAAACTTGAATGATATTTAGTTGAAGTTATTGAATATTTTGCCATAAGGACAATTTGGGAAACATGGAATGGAATTGAGGATTTCCTTGTTAGTTGATGTAATTACAATGAGATTAATGGTGATTTTATATACTTTTACAACTTACATATGAATATTCAATGAGTTAGGAACAAACTATGTGAGTTTTAGAATGTGCATTTGGAATCTAGACTAATTAACCCTCCATTTAATTTTAAGGATCATCACGATCTTAAAGATTTCAATGAGCACTTAATGGATTAAATTGGGTATATTTGGATGATAAAACACCTCCTAATCATCTGTGAGAAACTATACAAGTGGTGCAAAGTGAATTGGAAAGGGCCTTCAAGAGTTATGCAAAGTGTCATTTTGAGAAAAAAAATGGATTAAGAAAAATATGCAGCCAAGTGAACACGACCCAGTGTTATTTAAGCCTAAATCAACACGATCCATGTTATTTAAGCCTAAATCAACACGACCCGTGTTCCCTTCTATGCAGTTATCACTAATTTTTCTTCTAACTTTTGCATTATGACTCAGATTTACGCACAGTTTTCGCCTACATTCATAGGTTTTTATAAGGAATAAGTTGAATCAATAAAATTTAGTAATGGAACCCGTGATGGGTATTTTGGTGATTTTAATAACTTTTACCTACTTGTTATATAGGTGGTGTTCAAGAGTGTTGCTCTAAGGAAGGAACTAGAAGAAGATTAGTTAATCTATGTGTGATTGAGGTGAGCACGTGTTGGCATTTTTCTACTTTTGGGTACATGGAAAAATGATTTTTATGATGATGAAATACCAATGATTTGATATATGAAACATTTTGAAATGAAAATTTTAAATGCTTTTGAAAATAATGTTTTGAAAGAACGCCTTGAAAGAAAGAACGTGTTTTAAAGTAAAATAATATTTTGGAAGAACGAATGTTTTGATATGTGAAATGTATCTTTTCAAAAGTATATCTTTTTAGTAACCTATGACACTATAAATGATGGTATGAGTATTGATAATAGGGAATGTGAAAGGTAAAAAGAAAGTAGAAAGAAAATAAAGGAAATGATGAAAACTGACCGGGTCATGATACCTCATAAGAGGCCCTAGAGGGATCTACTGGGTGGTACATTTCCTTCGCGAAGTAGATATCATATTATGATACCTCAGTGGACTGATTTGGTTCTGTTCACCCTGGCCAGTTATGATATCTTGGTGGATTGATTTTTTCTTTCCACCTTGGCCTTAGAAATGGAAAAAGATTAAATGAAATGATATGATAAGATATGATATGATATGTTATGAAAAGATATGATATGATATGTTATGTATGAAATGATTTTCATGTAAATGCTTTGAAATGTTTGGGTCACAAACATATGTATTTCACGAGACATTATTGTCTTACATTATCTCTTTTTAATGTCATGTATCACAAGTTGTATTTAAGGAGAAAAGATGATAGATGGAAGTTAGAAGTTAAGAGATAAAGAATGGAGTGAAGCTTGTCAAGTTTGTTATTCATGTTATTGATGTAATTCATATTTGTTTGTTGTGGTTGTATGATGCTTAATGGTAAAACTCAAGATTTTAATTGTATATGTTTTTATGGGACTGGTTTTTTGTTAAATGTGGGTTAACACCCGAAATGATTTTTATAACCATAGTATCTTTTAAAAAATATTGGAGAAATTTGGGATATTACAAGCATCATTTAGAAATCAAAACATTATTAAAAAAAGAAAAGACTACATATACCCAACCTACCTTCATGTTTAAATGCCAACACCTTTTTCCATTTTATCCATCATATCTTCTTCTCTCCCGCCTAGCCACCCCCAAAAAATCTTAATCTCAACTTTACCAAGAGATTAATAACAATTTTAGGAGCATTAAAAAGTGACATATAATAAATGTCACTTTTGTGGCCGTAGAGGCTTCATCCTATGCTTTTGTGGCCTCACGAGCTCAATCATGGGCATTACAAGATCACATCTAACGAAATAGCGGCATATGTGGTATGGATTCAGATTATGTTTGTGCTTTAGCCTTTCTTCGTGATACGATTCCGGGCTTTGATTTCAGCGGTTTCATTAATAAGGACACTGCCCCTCCAAAAGCCCAACATTCATTGGCGAGTGCCCTTTTTAGTAAAATTGACCCAAGACATGGAAGTTCACTTCGCCATGACGATTAGGCAGAAAACTATTTTTGAGTGTCTAAGGGTCCCACATGCTCAGGATTTACTTATGACTATTCATATTGACGGTCTTGGCCAGGATATGTCGCCAGTTGAGTATCGTGCTATCCTCAAGTATCGTCTTATGATCCCCTTATTTCCGGCTAACGAGACTTGCCCTGTTTGTCGTAAGGCATGTTTGGACTCCTTTGGGGAGCATGCAGTTCATTGTAAAGAGCTCCCCGGTTTCAAGTACCGACACGATCTGGTTAGGGATGTTATTTCCGATATATTTAGGCGCACTGGGGTTTCCGCTAAGAAAGGGGCACCTGTGAATTTTTTGACTGACCCATTGGAAGGAAGATCAACATTTAGACCAGCTGATGTTTTAGTATTTGGATGGGCTGGAGGAAAACATGCATGCGTGGATCTAACAGTGGTTTCCCCTCTTGTAGGTCTGGGGAGTAGGGTTTTCACTGTGGGGCAAGCTGTTTTAAAAGCTGCATCAAGCAAAGTGGAAAAACATGAGAAAGCGTGCATGGAAAATCAACACACGTTTATACCCTTTGCATTTAATACTTTCGGTTTCCTTGCGCCAGAAGCTGTGGAGCTACTCAATAGAGTTCAACGGGTCATGCATAGTAATGTTATGACTCCAATATCTATAGATGTTGTTTTTAAAAGAATTAGTTTTGCCATCCAAAAAGGGGTTGCGGCACAGTTTGGTGCTCATTTACCCGATACGTCTATGTAAAACTTCCTTCTTATGTTTTATATAACTCTAATTAAATTTAAAATAAATAATAATAATAATAATAATAATAATAATAATAATAATAATAATAATAATAATAATAATAATAAAATGTCAATACTCTCTAGGACCAACTTCTACTAAGGCCTTGTTTGATTTCACTCTGACCAGGTCCGGTCAGAGGTTTTATCTGACTCGGTCCTAGTCTTGCTGTTTGATACCAATATTAGAGCTCTTACTCGGTCAGTAAATGGCTAATGAACGGCTGACTGGGACCTGTAAAAAATAAAGCCTGATCGAGACAGAAATAATCTTCTCCCTCGTATGCCCTTCTCTTTCGCTTGCCAAGGCTTCCTTCCTTCAGCCTCCCACCTCGTTCCTTCAGGTCTCCTACCTGGCTCCTCCTCCAGAGTGGTAAGATTTTTCCTGTTTTAACCTAATAAACAGGTTTGCAATTCCCGTCTCTCTATAAAATTGATTCTTTGAAATCGATTTTTTTGTATGCTTGAAATCGATTCTTCAGTTCTTTGAAGTCGATTGTTCAATGTGTTGAAATAGATTTCTAATACATACATTGCTTCCTTCTACTTGCTTTTGAGACGATTCCCGATAAGCTTAAAGCCCAAGTAATTAATCGATCGGTCCTCTTATTTCCCTGAACAGTAATTCTTGAAATCTTCATGAAATTATATATGGACGAGTGTACTGGTTTGCTTGTTTTAAGTGTATTTGGCTTTATTTATGTTTGAATTTGATCCAGGTTTATTTGGTATTGTTGCACAGTACAAAAGAAATTGCAAGAACAAATAGAGGTATAGTGTTTCTATTTGCTTACAACCTTTACCATGGGTTCAAATTCAGTTTTCAATGAATTCTTTTATTTTTTACATTTAGAGAATTGGAAGTGATAGCAGTAATTTTGGTGTTGTTGCAGAAGCTTGAAACAATTTGGAAGATACACATATATAGATGCCAACAAACATGAAAAATGACTTGCAGGTCGAGGGATGTAAAACCCCAAAAGAAATTGAAAAGTGGGTAGAATGAAGTTGCAAATATGGCTGTCAGTTGCTAGTTTGGTGTGAGGCAAAAACAGTCATCAGTCCATAGTATGTAAAATAGACAAATGAAAAGAAGTTGATGAAAAATAACCAAAGAAATTTGGATGTTGTCCATTGAAATTACACCATGACACAACAACCAAATTTTGGAAAATAGAAGAGAAGGGTAAAATAGTCATTTCCAGCATTCAGTATAATTAGTCAGAGCCATAATCAAACAACAGGGTTTCAATCAGAGGTAGTTTCAGTCAGACTCTGACTCAGTCAGATCTTACTCGGTCAGAAACTATCAAATAGCCCCTAAGTTGTCCTCCCACTTATTGATAAAGTTTTAACTTTCTAATTGAAAAGACTTTTTAGTAAAATTCTTCCGCTTGAGGCCTATTACTCCACACACATGCAACCCAGAATACATAAAAGGGATTGTAGCCACCCAAAATACATAAAAGGGATTGTAGCCTAGCAACAATAGTAGCTAATTCTTATTGATATAGTCATATGTCCATGGATTTAAATAAAAAAATGTGTTGTTTTGTACATACATAAGAGACATATCCCTACACTTAATGCCGGTTCTCATTCATAGCTAGTGGTACTAAGAGAGAAAGTATACAATAACATATCTCTACACTTAATGCCAATTCTCATTCATAGCTAGTTGTACAAGAGAAACAATATATACAATAATGGGTATCTCTACACTTAATGCCAATTCTCTCATTCATAGCTAGTGGTACTAAGAGAAAGAATGTATACAATAATGTGTATGTTAAATTTTATTTAAATTCGAAAAGGGAAAAAGGATGATGCTTGGACGTACAATAAGTTAAAAAAACCAATACACCACTCTACAAAATACACAAATATGAGACCATTAGAAATCTAGATAACGATAGTTGAAGCTAAAATGCACGACATGACTCCCATAAGAATGACTTTCCATTTTAAACATGTCCTTTCAGTGCCACTCACGTTGCCACTTGGTCGTTTAGTACTCGTTCCACTTGTCACGTTAGCACTAGCTGCATAAAATTAACAACCATTGTTTGAAACTTTTATATATATTCATTCCAAGAAATTACTTAATTACTTAATATTGGAATATAAATAAAATGTTATATACCACTTGGAACAGGGCTATTGGCAGGAGCACCAGCAGTAGTAGAGTGGCCATATTGAAGAAAAACCTGAGCATCCGTTGAATTTGGAGCCAAATGGAGAAGTTCTGCATATCATATTCAATAGTATATAATATATAGTCATCTTCTAATTAAAAAAAAAAAAACATTGTTTTGTTCAATTAATCATGCATGTAATTCTTAATTTCAGTTCTGTTAAAGGTATATGGCTTGCAAAATGTTCGATAGAGATACATCAAATAAGACCAAAATGACATACGTGTGCAATAAGTGTGCATCCTTTGCAAATGTATGATAGAAATGATGTGTGTATATATGGTGTATGTACATTGACTATAAATTAACAAAAAGAGTGACACCCATACTTGAATTTGAGAACTTACTTATGGATTCCAACTTTACCATTGGGGAAAACATGCAAGTATACTATACTTTATGTACTTACCCGGACATTTTGTAACATTAGCAGGGGCTTGACACACTGTAGGGAGGCCTAATGCAAGCGTGACATTTATTGTGAGGCCTAAATCCGGATCATTTCTATCTTTTATCACCACACATAAGCACTTCTTGTTGGTGTTCAACACTTTCTTCAAACCATTACAACAATCTGGTGTGGGAGATTTTGCATTGCCACCAACATATGGCAAACATGTCGCTAGTCCTACCAACTGCTCCGTGCACTCTTCCTTATCCTTGTCATCTGCACCGAGTGTCATATGAGAAACTGTCACCATACTTAAGATCACAAATATGAACGCAAATTTGACCTCGCGAACTCTTTGTAAACCCATTAGAATAACTGGATCGAGTGGGGATAAATTGAAGCAGTATTGGTTTATTTTAGAAGATAGAGTTGTGAGCTTAAATAGAAGTTTCTTTTGTCATGTTAAACTGAGTGGAATAAACTGAAGCACTAGTGGTTTTTTTTTTTTTTGGAAGATAGAGTTAATTGTGAGCTAAAATAGAAGTTTCTTTTGTCATGTTATTGTCAAGGCGACCTTTGAGAGTTGAGACACACATACACAAATATAGTTATATTTGTGAGAGTGGAGAAGTAGGTGAGAGCGAAGATGGTGGTTATTAAGAGTTCCGTGAAATGGATGAAAGCTCGAAAGTGGACATGGAGCTTGAGTACTTCACCGACCCACTAAGGTTTGTGGTAGCCTGTAGGACATATTGCGAGTAGTGATGCAAGTCGTCATCATTAAAAACCAATGACGATGCATCTGTCCATCTAATTCGAATGAAAAACAATTGTAGGTGGTAAGGTTCGGCGTGCTCGGGTTGGTAATGGTAAAAAAATAAAGTAGAGATATGTAAGTTTATAATAGAAATCAAAATTAACGGCTCAAATTTAGTTGGTATATACTTATTATTTTTATAATAATGTTAAATTTGTTAAATAATTTGTATATTAAATATTACCATTAAAGTTAGGTGTCATTGGTTTGCCAAAATATTTCTGAAAGAATTGAAAGTTAGTATACGTTAATTCAATTCCATATTTTGTTTGGTTTTCAGTAAGTAGAACTTGAATCCAATTTTATATTATGTTTAGTTAAAATGTTCCATATTTTGTTTGGTTTTCAGTAAGTAGAACTTGAATCCAATTTTATATTATGTTTAGTTAAAATGTGTAGTTGACAAAAAAAATATAATTGAATTAATATAAAATGACATAATTGTCATTCTTGTTTTTCGTTTAATTTTACTTTTATTTATAAATTATATATATAGATATATGATATTAATTATAAAAATAACAAATGGTGGTGGTGGTGTATGCGGGTGGTGGTGGTAGAGTTGATGATGGTTGTGGTAATGGTGGTGGGTGGTGGTAATGGTAAGTAGTTGTACCAATGGAATAGCGGTGATGGTAGGTGGTTGTGGTGGTGGTGGTCGTGGCGGCGTAGGTTGATGAGTTTTACATGTAATAACGCAGATAAAGTCTTATACACTTAATGGTACATACAACGTATTAGATCTAGTCATAACACTATTGAAGTAACATTCTATTGAACAACAAGAACCTTATAACCCTAGCTAATTTCGAAAATCATAAACAAGTTAGGGATTACATACCTTTTGATTGTTGTAGTAAATAATCTAACAATCATTCTTGAAAAACTCTTGGATGTAGCACCAGAAATCTTGTACCACTGATGGTTCACACCCAAACCCTAGCAACTAGGAAACTTGAAGAGAAGAAGAGAGGGGAAATTTTGGTTGGCTCTTAGCAATAATGATGGCCGAAAATTGTAGGATGGAAGGCCCTATTTATAGCTGATATATAAACCCTAGATAACTCTTACTTGATTAAAATAATAATATCTCAAATCATGTAATTATTTGGTTTCCTAATTATCTTTAAGGGGTATTCTAGAACATATAATCACCCAAAAACCGTCCGCCCTTATGGGGAAGATTCTGGAACCCTTTTGTTCAACTATTGAACAATTACAGCTTAGGTCATTGCACTAATAATTAATCCAATTAATCCCAAAATTAATTCTAATTAATTTTGATTAATTCTTAATTAAATAATAATATTTCTAATTAATATATTATTCTCATAGTATATAAACAAAGCGTTTATTGCTATTTATTAATCATATAATAAATCAATAAATCGGTATCTCTTTCTCTCTAAAAGGCATCATATTCAATTACCAAGTTTGAGCGCAGCCCAAAAGGACTTTGTTAATAATACAAGTATATATCAATTTAGTTATTGACTTAGACACCTAATCCAATAGTCTCCCACTTGGATAAGTCTATAACTACAATTGTCAGTATAACTTCTAAATTATCAGCAAATGGTGCTTCCAAAAGCAACTCCAACCTCTGATATGATCAGACGTCAGTCCTAAGATAAGTCATCAAATATTCTTTCGTTCTACAAGATATCATATGGACATAAGACATGGATTAGAATCAATCTCATTGTCCAAAATTTGTTTCCCGAATTCTTGATTTGTGATGACCTCATAAGACTTACTAATTGAACACATCAATTTAGTCCTGGCTGGGCCGAATACTATAAGTCAACACCAAAACACCAAGGGGCCCAAAGATATCGCTTTTCCTGTTAGGGAAAAATGAATAAATAAACTTTGACTCATATGATTGTATCGTTTAATCACTAAATCATACATGCCACTGTGTTTTATAACACCAAGTTGCTGATGCGTTTTCGCAATACCAATGTACAACCGACTTATAAATTACAACTCATATATATTCATTTTAAGAATATAAGATATTATAGTCTCAAAATTACTCGTGATAGAATCCATGAAGTAATACTTTGAGCGTAGGTTTATCCAATACTCACATCTCCATTTTCTACATACTCATGAACGTTGTAGCAACACAATTGCTATGTCTAAACTCCTTAGACAATCTACAATCTAATTCATGACAATCTTCACTCACTACTTACTTCCTAAAGTATGAGCGACTGTGGAGCTTCGAATAATCAAATTATTCAGGAAGTAAAACATGCAAATCGAAACACAAGAATAAATAATTGACAAATGTAGTAAACAAACTTATAAATAATCTATATTATTCAATCACCAAAATCAATTACATTTATTCCATTACAAGTTTCAAACTAAACATCTAACTACTAAAACAAATATCATCTCTCAATCTAATGCTCTTGGCATGCTGACTATGCTTAACCCTACTTAGAGCCTTCGTCAAAGGATCTGTAGGATTCTCTTCTGATAATACCCTCTTCACAATGAGGTGACCTTCTTCTACGCTATGTCTGGTGTAATGGTATTTTCTGTTGATATGTCTTGACTTGCCATGGTATCTCAGTTCTTTAGTTAAAGCAACCGCACCTTAATTATCGCAGAAAAGTTCCATCGTTTATTGAATGGTCGGAACTACTCCAAGATCTCCAATGAATTTCCTCAACCAAGCTGCTTCCTTTGATGCTTCATTTGCCGCTATGTACTCTGATTCACATGTAGAATCAGCCACTGTGTCCTGCTTGGAACTTTTCTAAGTGCCCGCTCCTTCATTTAACAGAAACACCCAGCCAGATTGAGAACGAAGATTTTCTCTATCTGTTTGAAAGTTGTCATCACTATATCCACTTACTCTCAATGTATCATTGCCACGAAGGACTAGAATCGGATCCTTTGTCCTTCGCAGATACTTAAGAATGTTCTTCACTACTGTCCAATGAGCTCTGCCAAGATTTCCCTGAAAGTGACTGACCATGCTTAAAGAAAAAGAAACATCATGTCAAGTACATGTTATAACGTACATGATCAATCCTACAGCCGAAGCATATAAGACTCAACTCATTTTCGCTATCTCTTCATCTGTACTAGGGCTTTGAGTCTTACTCAACTTGGCATTACTCTAAATAGGTAGCTCTCCTTTCTTGGAATTTCCATACAAAAACATTTTAGTACCTTATACAAGTATGTACTTTCACTAAGATCAATTAGTCTTTTCTTTATATCCCTTAAGATTCTTATCCCAAGAATATAGGTTGCCTATCCTAGATCCTTCATAGCAAAACACTTTCCAAGCCAAGACTTTACTTCTTGCAAAGTTGGAATGTCGTTTCCTATGAAGAGTATGTCATCAACATACAATACTAGAAAGGTTGCTATACTCCCACTAGCCTTGACATACACACATGACTCATCTTCACTCTTAGAGAAACCAAATTCTTTGACTTTCTCATGGAAGCAAAGATTACAGCTACGAGATGATTTTTTTCAATCCATAAATGGATTTCTCACGATTACACACCGTAACATCCCAAAATTTCATGGTAAAAATTTCATTTTTAATTTAACTAAAACACTATTGTAACTTTGTCCACACATTGAAAAACGTTTTAAATAAAACATTTATCAGAGTTTATTCCCAGAAATTACATATTGCGGAAAACATAGGTGTATGCGATGCGGTCATCCCAAGCTCCTTTATTTGAAAACTGGAGGTACCTAAAACCAAAACTGAAAACCGTAAGCACGAATTTTAGTGAGTTCCCCAAATACCACATACGATACATATCAACAGATCCATACATGCCATACATAACCGTGAGCCATACATATCATTCATATATCATAATCAATAAAGGTGTTATGTGCCGCACATAGTCTTGGCATTATGTCACGGGTCACCTCGTGGTCTTTCTTGCCAAGCCGGGGGCCATCCCCTGGGTCTTATAGACAAGTGCCAAGAGCCACCTCCTGGTCTTCCATGAAAGCATCATAATAGAAACAACTAGCATAAATACTACTATACTTAGCTAATTAGCATATAGTGTGTCCAGGAGACACCTCCTGGTCTTTCATATATAATGCCTAGGGCTAACCCCCAGGTCTTCCTACAATACATAAACCAAATGGTCCGGCATTGGTGCCTTCAACCCATACAAACAGTGGGGAGACTCACCTCGAACTACCGAATCTCATAGAAAGAATCTCTGGCTGCTGGCTTGCTAAAATCTCGCGATATCAATACCAATGACATCCAATTAATAGTTTGATTCCAATCCATAACCATCAGTCCAAAAATTAGGGTAAAAGACCATTTTACCCCTTACCTAGCTTTGTCCAAGATTAAAGCCCAAACCTACAATCTGAAAGGCAAAATTCCAAATTAAGTGTCTAATCTCTTCAGACCAAAGCTCATAATCATCATATATTTATATTCTTAATCCATACAACGTAATTAGACCAAAAAATCATCTTATATCTAATTGAACCAAACCATATTTTTATAAGTATTTTCCATCTTATTTAAATCCTACTAATCATGTATTAATATTTAATTAGTCAAATATTTAATCTATCAATATATAATAAGCCCACCATTTTCCTTGAAGTCCATATGTTTTAAAACACAACTCATCAGCCCATTTATTTATTTATGTTAAAGTTGAAGTCTAAGCCCAAAACTTCAAGTCCAAAACTAGATCCAACCTAAAGGTCAAAATCGGTCAAGGTATGTACCTCTTCTATGTCTCATGTAATCTGGAACAATCACCAAGGAGCTCCAACCGAGAGTACTTCACTGGAATTGGTTTACAGATTGATGGAGACTCATTCTTCAACCTCCACTGCCTACTAACTTCACATGAGACTTTATGTTAAAAAGTAATATTATAAGCAAACTTATCATTTTTGGTAATATG